CATGGTTTTAAATTATCATCCAAAAGTTTGCCTGGCTTATGCTTTTAAAAGGAACAAAYCTTTTAGGGAGACATTTTGGGTTTTTAGACACACCAGTAAAGTTCAGCATGACAAGTCTAAGAGATGGGCCTGTGAAGAACTGAAAATTGACTTCACCCATTTCCATTTTCCAAGCACAAGMGGAGCAAATAAACAAAAAACAGTTTCCCCAACTCAGTTTTGAGGAAAGAATCTGTTATCTACTCATTCAAGRGAAAACAATCTCATCAAGATCTTCAAGGCCTGGAATTGAATCTTTCCCCTCAACAATCTGCAACTCGCCTTGACTGATTCCTGGATTTAAGAGTCCCAAGCCTGACAGGCATCCAGGRACTTCTCTCCCATGTAAGATTTTCCCTTTCCAACTCAGACTGCTTCAGGGAAGTTTTGAAAATTCATTTTTTCCTTTCTTTAACAGCTGAACAGCCAACTGGACTGAAATCACACCTCACCTTGACTTAAGCTTAAGTCAACAGGAAAACAAAACCTACTCAAACATCTGTTATCTCTTGCTGGATTTGTATCTGGCCTTTCTTTTACTCACAATGAAGATGACCTGCAGTGGCACTTCTCTATATCAGTTCTAGGAACTGAATTGTTTCAGGAAACCCTTTAGAGAAGCTTTATCTCAAAGCTCCTCTTCCTCCTCCACGCCTTCCCACATTTATGCCACCGTTCTTCTGCTCCATCCTGAGCAGCTCATGACTAACCCACCTATTCCTCAAATACCACCCGCAGCAGAGAACTCCAGGGGGCTGCATTTAATCTCTGCTCTGCAGAGAAATGCATAAATATCACCTCATTCAGCTCAGGGGAACATCCAACAGGGATGGAAAGGGCTATTTTATGTCCAYGCTCTGTGTGACCACGTGCAGCTGTGGGAGGAATGGCACTGACAAAAAACTAGGGCTTCAAATGAAAGAATCTGAAAGACATAAATATGTCAGGCAGCTTATGGAGAACATTACAGGGAAAATATTTGGACAAGAATCAACTTGCATAGGAAATTCATCAGTCACATCGGAAAGCAGAGATGCACGAATGCTTTGACAACACCAGCTAATTATGCAGACTAACAAATGAGGTCGTGAGTGGAGTGTACCCACACAGACACAGCACGCAGCTCTGAGAGGCAAAAACATCATCTATTAAACATGCACACAAGCAGCTTTTTTATCTGCACCTGGAATTTCACGTACTTGGCCCAGAAATCTAACCCATTTTCAACACCTTCCATTCATTGAGCCCTTCTCACCAGGAGTTTCACTGGCAATTTGCTACACTGCTAAGATTTTAATTCAGATGTGTTCTCCTGAGTGTGCACAAGTACAGCTGAAGTCGAACTGAAATCTGAAAGGCTTTTCAGAGCCAGATCTTTCCTTCTGTACCAATCAGACTAAACAAGACTTTGAGCCTGAGAGTTTCTGGGTGCTGCTGTGAACAAATCTGAAGTCAAAAGAGGTTGATGTAACTTGTGAAAAATAAAGCAGCAGCCTGGGCTTTTCTGTCAGTGGACAGAATACACATCCAACTTGCTATGAAGACCTGAAGCTGTGATATTTCCCCCCAAAAAAATCACACTGTATTTCAAAATGCTGTTATATCAGTTTCTTTTCAGGACAATCTTTTCCTTCAAACAGAGCAGGTTAGGAGGTCAAACACAAGTTGCCATCTATATCTACATATTCTATACATGAAGATGTGCATTCTTACAGGTTGCACTTATTTAGGATCCTGTTTCCATGCTCAAACTGCCTTTTCTACATTAGCACTTGTGCTTGGCCCTCAGTGTCTGTAACAGAGCCAATGGCACTTCTCAAAAGGCTTTTTTTCTTTGCCCCAGTCTCRCTGTAGGTGATCAAAGCTCATCACAGGCACAGCAAGGCACAACTATAAACCCTGGCTTTTGTTGAGCCAGCCAACACAGAGTGATTTCTTGGCAGGAATATAATTTAATACGCCTTTAAAGAAGTCATTTGCTCTGCCTGCTTTTAGCACTTACTGCAGGAGGTTCAGACACTGCATGGATAAACAATGCAGGGGAAAGAGAAGGAAAAGTGGGAATGCATAAGCCTGARGGGTAATTGGATGAGGGATGCCCAAAAGCTCTGCTCCCAGAGGGGAAGAAGGTGGCCAGGTGACAGTCCCCAAAGCCTGGGGGCAACTTGGGTGATGCTCTTAYTCTGCACTACTTTTAGGGCCCTGAACCCAGTTCACAAACTGCACATTTCAGACTGCAATGTGTCAAGCCTAGCCTTGATTTCAGGGCTGAACATCAATCAAAATCCCACCAAATGATTAGATTTTTATTTTGTGCCCATTTCTGTGCATCTGTGCTCACTCACTGATTCTATTCCCTGACAACTCCCCAGGATTTCTGCAAACACTGGACTGACCAGCACACCTAGCCAGGCCAGTAAATCAAATATCCCATCACACCAGCAGGCCAAAAGGTCTGATGTCCTGCCCCCGGCAAGAGCCATTTCCTGGCATTTTAAAAGGATGAGGAGGAGGGGAGAGTCTTAATGACCCCAGAGAGCCGTGCCCCTCCTAAAGGTGTGGGACTGGATGAAGGCCTTTCCAACTCCCACACCACAAGTTTTTCTTGTTTAACATCACTTAATACTTTATCTTTCTGTAACTCCATGTATTTACTGCACAGACTTTTACCTCCTCTTTACTCAGCTCACAGTTTTGAGGAAGAGATTTWGTCCTGAGTGCAGCAACACATTCCTGTTCATCCCAAAAGGAATAACCTGACCTGCCACAAAGCTTCACCATCCAGTACTCCAAACCAGGCTGTCTCACAGGCCAAGGCACATATTCCAAGGAGAAAATCTCAGATTTCCCTCTTGTCCTGCTGCAGGCCTTAAACCTTCCCAGCACCACCAGTGGCCACCCCAGCACTCATAGGATTGTCATTATGGATACATGTATAAGATAAACAGATATTACAGAATATYCTGGCTTGGAAGGGACCCACAAGGATCATCCAGTCTAACTCCTGGCTTTGCARRG